ATTTTTCTGATTCACTTTTTGTTCTCTTCTCTTTCATTGTCTCATGCCTCATCATCTATTTTTCACTTGTTTTTCTTTTCTTTCTCCTTTTCTCATTTGTTATCTCACATCTCATCATTAGCATTATTTCTTTCTCGTACTCATTTTTCTTCTATTTCTCCACTTTTCACTCATTAACTCACGCCTCATCATCATCATCATTTTCTGATTCATTTTTTGTCTCTTATCTTTCATTGTCTCATGCCTTATCATCTTTCTTCCACTTGTTTTTCTTTTCTTTCTTCTTTTCTCACGCCTCATCATTAGCATCATTTTTCTTCTATTTCTCCACTTTTCACTCATTAACTCACGCCTCATCATCATCATAATCATCATCATCTTTTTCTGATTCACTTTTTGTTCTCTTCTCTTTCATTGTCTCATGCCTCATCATCTTTCTTCCACTTGTTTTTCTTTTCTTTCTTCTTTTCTCACGTCTCATCATTAGCATCATCTTTTTCTCATACTCATTTTTCTTCTATTTCTCCACTTTTCATTCATTATCTCACGCTTCATCATCATCATCATCTTTTTATCACTCATTTTTATCCACTTTCTCCTCTGCTCAGTCGTTATCTTCCGTGCCCACCTGCCTCTCGCCCTCATCATTCACTTCTCTCTCCTTTTCGGCTTTTGCCCATGCGCCTTAGTCATCTAGTTTGCTCATCCGCGGACACTCTCTTTGCGATTCGGACACAAAGCCTGCGCCCACTCACAAGAGACTAGGAATATTTGCATTTTCACCTCTTCCGCGCTCTTCTGCTCACTGCACCCTCGCATCCTGCCTCCGCGAACCACAACCCCGCCGGAGCCTCTGCTTCAAACCTTGCCCGGACTCATCCACTCGGTCGGCTCATTCGACGCATCCGTCGTCGTCGTCGTCGTCGCCGCCCGCCCGCCCGCCCGCCCCCTCCTGCCCTGCTGTACATGCCCACTTTCGGATTTGCAAAACATCGTCTGTTGTGGCTACACGCCGCCGAGCCCAAATGGGTCTCTTTCCTTCTGGCAAGACTCTGCCACTGCAGCCGTCCTCCCGAGGAGAAGCAGGCTGTCGTCTCGGCCTTTTCTTTCAACCAGGGCAACACTCCTGTTGGCCGCCTCTAGTCTCCGCTCCCTCTTTCTCTCGTTCTCTCGTTCTCTCGTTCTCTATTTCTCTATTTCTCTATTTCTTTCTCTCTCTCTTCCCACCTCCTTTCTTCGCTCACTCGGTATCTTGGCCACTCGACTGTCACTCATTCTCGTACCTCGGAGCGATCTGAACCAATCTGACTGCATCTTCCACATTATACATTTCCGTTGATCCTCTTTTACCTCTTCGCCTTCACAATTCTCCACTCTTCGCCCTCTCTCACTCTCGGCGCATGCTCGAGGCGTTCTCTCTCACCCGATCTGAGCGCAGCACTCTTATTCCGGATTTGCTAACAGGGCGACATTTTGCTATTTATTCTGTTGCCACACCAACTATTGTCCAAAAGAGGACCGACTCTCAACTACCACTGGTCGCAATAGGCACGGCACTGGACCGTCTTGGATAGCACAGCAGCGGTCCTCTACTCCACGATCTGCTCCCCCCTCGCCTCTTGTGTATGCCCAAGTGCTCTGGTCGTCTTTGCTGTCACAGCAACCAAGATACTCAACCAATTTCATTTCACTTTCCTTCTGACCTGCTTCGTTTTTCTATGCCCTCGTCTCTTAAAGTTCTTTTGCATCATCCTCCAAAACGCACGGTGATTATGAATATACCTTAAAGCAAATGACTCGTCTTCCTCTATCATTTGAGGAGATTGACTTTCCAATTGTCCGGGTCTGGGCTTTCTCAGTGCTCGCTTCTTCGCTTCTTCGCTTCTTCGCTTATCCGCTTCACTACGCGATTGCGTTTGAGGCAGACATGTCTCCTGGCCATAGTCGGCCACGTGGCCATTTTGCGACGTAATCTCGTTATAGATACGAAGAAAAGTTGGGTTTCGAGGAATCTTTTGTTTCATAATTGTTGGGATTACTTCCATTTCGAGTGGAAGTGTTGCGTGAAGAGATTCGAAGGTCGGTTCCACCAGAAGACAACGGCCGATTCCTCTTGACCAGCTGTCGGTTGGCTTTACTGGAACATTCATGCTGACGCTGTTTCCGAGGCAATCTCACTCGATTCCGGTGAAAAGGTGCTAAGCTTTCGTCCGTCATGTGACGGACATCATCACCGGTGAGTTTTCTTGACTCGTTAGCTTGAATTTTGTTGTGACGATGTTACCTCGCTCTGATGATGTCC